TATTTCCAACAAATGAGATTTTCAGCTTAGATTTTGCGGGAAAGCGATGTTCAGGCGAGGAATGGGGAGGCGCACTGTTCGAGTTCGTTAGGTCTTCACCAACAAATAGAACTATTTTTAAGTTACAAAAAAAAAATTCCTTGATTTAAAAAAATTACGCATGAATTTATCGGCATCAATAATTTACAACAAAAGTAGCGTTAATTAGAGATACTCGGAATATAATCGATAATAAACAATGAGAGGACGGACGAGTTCGCCATTTTCACCCAAAAAACAACAAAACATCGTTCAAAGGTATAATTTGTACTAAAACTTATCAAGGGAGGTAAAACTTTCCCTCCCTCCCTCATCCCCTCTCTTTCCGGCAGAAATAGTTCCAGCTGCACAATACTTACAAGATTCTGTAATGAACCCACAGTCTTTCTGATTTTGAAACTCAGTTTGCCCCCATGGCTGTATTCCATGGCCTGATATCTAGAAAACATTCATCAGACTACGCGCTCTACACGTGTTACATGAGAAAAACCGTGAACGAGATCGTTGTAAAGATGAACGAGCAGGTGAGGAAAAACTGAACAAATATTAACGCTGATGCACTTGTTAAAAGAGATGAAGAAAACCTCAAGAATGCTTGTTAACTTCAAACAAAAACAAACAGAAAAAGAGAAACTTTCCTGTACATTTTTCGGGGAATTATCCACAATTACGAGGCAAGAATTGAAAAATTCAACAAAAGCGGACAAAATAAGCGAATCTATGATTTAAGGACATTGCATGAGCACGAAAGCACTATTCTGGTGATAAGCACAAACGGGACAGAAATGACAAATATTAGAGATTTACAGATGCAAATTGCACATTTACATATTTTTCCAGAATAACACGGGAAAAACGTTTAAAAGGATGCGCCAAAAAGAACTCGTCAAAGCAATTCCTGTGCGGCTTTTCCAAGTTTCTTTTTAAAAACTAAGAGATGAGATGCTTGATTTTTAACAGAACGAGACTGTTAAGTTTTGTTTTAACATGAATTTCAATTAATTTCGGCCAAGTGAAGGCGCTGGGAAGGGGGTTTCCAGGATGAGCTGAACTGGGGTTAATTACCGCAAACAGTTCAATACTAA